CCAAAAACCAAAAACCCCCCCCCCCCCTTAATTTCCCGCCAATTCCCCCTCAGGAGGCCCCGCCCCTCAGCGAGGCCACGCCCCCTTTACTTACCTCTCACGCCATTGGCCAATGCGCTGCGGGGGGCGGGGCAAGGGGCGGAGCGATCGCGCCTGGCGCTCGGCTGGGGGGAAGGGCGGACACGTCAATCAAACCCCGTCCACCCCACCCCTCAGCGAGGCCACGCCCACTTTTCCCGAAACCACGCCCCTCTCGCGTCGTATCGCGATAAAACCGCGCCGAATCGCGAGAGAACCCCCCAGGCCACGCCCACAGACCCCTCCCCCCCCTTTAATCAGCGCTCCCCGCCCCTCCCCCACCCTCCGGAGAGCCCCCCGCGGCCGCACCGAGCCGGAGAACCCTGCGCGCCGCCATCTTGGAGGCGGACGGAAGTGACGCCAGCGCGCACGTTGAGGGGGGAATAGGCGGAAGTGTGGTGGTGGCCGCCATGTTGTACGGAACGGGCTGGGGGGAATGCGCGGCGCCATTTTGGAGGTCACGTGATGCGGAGGGTGAGGGGCGCCGCCATCTTGTACGGAAGGCGGGAAAACCGGGGATTCAACTCGAATTTATCGCGATTTTATCGCGATTTTAACGAGATTTTATCGTGATTTTAACCCGATTTTATCGCGATTTAAACGAGATTTTAACGCGATTTTATCGCGATTTAAACGAGATTTTACCGTGAATTTAACCCGATTTTATCGCGATTTAAACGAGATTTGAACTCGAATTTAACGCGATTTTAACTCGATTTTAAGGTGAATTTAACTCGATTTTATTGAGAATTTATCGCGATTTTTACCCGATTTTAACGCGATTTTTTTGCGATTTTAACTCGAATTAAACGCGGTTTTATCCCGATTTTAACAGGATTTTAACGCGAATTTATCGCGATTTAAGCCCGATTTTAACGTGAATTTAACTCGAATTTATCGTGATTTTATCGCGATTTTATCGCGATTTTAACCCGAATTTAACTTGATTTTAACTCGGTTTTTTTCGCGATTTTAACTCGAATTAAACGCGATTTTAACGGGAATTTAACAGCGAATTCTCGGCTATTTTATCGCGATTTTAATGCGAATTTAACTCGATTTTAACTCGATTTTATCGCGATTTTAACTCGAATTAAACGCGATTTTAACGGGAATTTAACAGCGAATTTTACTCGATTTTATCGCGATTTTA